ATTGTAACCTCTAAAAGATAGAGACTAAATTTCTCATTTTTATCCTAGGCTATCATGTATAGCTTCTCTTTATCATGATTATTTGAGAAATTCATTGAACCAAGCACATTAAATTATTCAAATCCTTTAATGTAGTTAGCTTAGCCCTGACTCAAAAGATCAATCAATTCCATTCCATGAGAATTTTTAACCATAACCAGAGGCATACTATCGACTTCAAACTAAGGGACAGGAAATAGTTGTACTTATATATTATGAATTTGCCGTGAGGAAATTTTCTGATTCTTAGAGTCAGAATTTACTAGAATAATTATAGCTTCAAACATTATAATCATGCGATTAGATTCTACTAGGGCGTAGTCAACTATTTTATCAGTTTTACGTTGAAAAATCTTGAATTTATCCGATTACTAAATGTCTCTTTAGTTGAGTATTATTCTATAGAGAGTATTTTCCTTACAAACACAGAATAGATCCTCTGTTCTTAGCTGAATCTTTGGAAATCTCTTAAGCATAGTGACGCAGTAGTGCTAGGTATAGTCTGCTGAAACATTCATCACTGGTCTTTTCTAAACCATATCGTATAATACCCCATTCCATCTCCAAAGACTAAGGACACCGTGACAACTGTGACTGAACAATATAAAAGTATCTGATAGTCCCAAAGCTGATTCGAAATCATCAAGTTCCAAAGTCTATACATCATTAAACTTACTGTCAAATACTTGATTATCACAGATATATCAGTTTCCATGCATAACTGCGTATTTAAGTATATTTTTGAATGATTTGACAACAGATATCTCAATTTAATTGATAATCGAATTAATGGATATATGAATCAAATCTGTAGTCTCTCTGAATGCATTTTGCATGGCTAGTAAATTGTGATTAACCTAGGCAAACATCTTATCATAGCTCTATGTAAATCCTCAGATTTTATAAGCATCTGTTAGGATTCTGATCTCTCTCAAGAGCTTATTTTAGTTATATGAAATATCAATCGAGTTTTCAAGGAGAGTTTTGTATTACTCGAGTTTCTTATGCAGTGAGTTTATATTGAATTAATTCCTCTCAATGTACTCTTTAATTTCAAAACCAATTCTTTGCTGACTTCTGAAATCTCCGTCCTAA